TACAAAAAGGTTTAGGTTTCTTAATAACTTCCTCATGTTCAATGATTTTAACATCTGTGAAGGTCTATTTGAGTATTTATAAATAGTGTGTTAGCTGCACTTTTCAGTTCTCTGAGAGAACTTGAGAAAGGGATCAAACTCATTCATATCAACGATGTAGAGAGTATTTAACTGGCAGCATGGCTGTGTTTTACCTGCAACAAACTCTGTTCCTGCCAGTTCAGCTGTGGCTAGAAAGTCATCCATGGAGCTCTGCTCTGTCACTGACTGCAGGTTTAAACGGCCCCAGTCATAGCCATCATTTAGTTCACTGGTGTGGAGCTGGAAATGTGAGATAAAAAAAAGATAAATACATAAATATATAAATAAATAAATACATGCCATAATTCACACTTTCTCAGAAGTGATGCTGCATATTTTTTAAAAAAATCGAAAATATATTTGAATTCCGGACAGCTATTTCCACCTGTATGTAGTGCTAACTGTAGTCATGTCTTACCCACGAATCTCCCCTCTTGTTCCCCCGGCCCGCCTGGAGCCTCTCCTTCATCAGTGCTCTACCGAGTCCAGCTCCTCCTCCTGCTTTCTTCTTTCCCATAACGACGTCTGAAATATTCTACACTACAAAACAGAAAAGAAGTATAGGACTTTAGGTGTATAAAAAAAGCGTTATATGCCTACAACAGTCTAAACACATGTGCACTGCCTTGTTGTCCTGAACTGTGGAAGTGGAACATACCAACATCGAACTTCCGGTGTTTACTTTAAAGCAACGCAACATATTACCAGTAAACAAAATTCACAACAATGATTATGTTACATATCATATATCATAGTAACTAATACACTTATACCGATTTAATATGCCTATTTTGTTTGTGGAAAAAATAGCTATATAAATATCTAGAATAATAAAAAGTGGTTTCTCCCATGAAGTTGTCCAGCTCTTAAATAAGCTCTGAAGAAACTAGCTCTCAAATGATTGTTGTTCCCACAAGATCAGAAAGGAGATTCAAAGTCGAAAATCTGCATTATTTTTTTTATACTCTTACTTACTAAACGTACAAACTTATTAAAAATGTTTTACAAGTTATTTTCCCTGTAAACGTAGCAATATCAAGGAACGCGGTTTCAAGATAAAACCACTAGATGGCAGCATAAAACCTTTACTGTTAAATAATCAAAATCTTTTCTTCTTTCTTTTTCATGACTTACTAGAAATTGTCACAATTTTCTATTTATTTGTTATACTCTGAAGGACTGCTGGTAGTTTTTTTTGACGGTTTAAAAAAATTAAATCCTAAAATGGTAGGCCCATGCTTATTACACTAATACCTCACACCTAACGAGTTATGAAATCCATGTCTGGATTGGTCCATATTTAATACAGAACATCAAACGGTTTTGATCTGTTTGGGTTTTCCCAGCAGATTCAAGAGGAATATGGATTTAGACTTTTAAGTTGCTGCGATTATGACTGGCAACTACAAAACGATGATTACAAAAATCTGTTTATTTCTTTTCGATTCTGTTTTTCAAAATACCAGGAAGATTACACAATTTTATATTTTAATCTGATTGCTTGCTTTTAAAAGCTTAGATATTCTTCAATAAAGGCATACAAAAGTAGGCTAACACAAATCTTAGAGTACATCTTTTGTCTATTCTTCCTATCTCTGAGTAATGTATAGAATATATAGAAAGTTTTTTGTGTTGAAAAAAACTCTAAATCAAGTCACAAATCAAAACTGCATCACACTGATAACATCATACTAATAGAATTCCACTCAAATGCTTTTTTTTCCTGCTGCATTTTTTCACTAGGCCTATATATATTTGTTTGTTTTTGCACTGCCCTAAACTTCCCTATCAATGTGTTTTTGCACCATGTTTTTCTCCCACGCTGTTTACATTTGATCACTGCTGCACTTTATGGAATGGAAATGTTCATTTCACTGCTAAGCTGCTCCTGATTTACTGTCTGAAAGCTGTACAAAACAAAATTTCGTTTGGTATACACAACAAAGTTGTCTAAGGCTAAATCTAAGAATATCACTTAACTGTGATAGAGACTATTTGTTGTGAAACAACGCTATATAAACAAACTTAACTTGAAATATATGTTTATACGCTTTAGATTTTAGTTGAAACACTAATTTCCTACAAACATCCTTTCTTATTTGTTTTCAATAGCTGTGTCAGAATAATGGATACAGGGGCAGAGCTAGATCGGGGGCCACTTGACAACAAAAAGGCTGTGGTTAATTATGCATATCACTATACTAACATTAAAGATGATAAGCACAGAGTTCATGCTCTTTTCAGAACTAGATTTTGTCTGTTATGGGGTAAAGAGAAGATGATGTGTTTCTGCAATTCATCTTGGAGTCTTCAGTGAAATCATAGATAACTGTTTTAATACAAACGTATTAAATAATCAATATATGTAGATGTTAGTACTTGTACATTTTATGCAGAATGATTACTGACAAAAGTAGGTAAGTAATGACAATGGAAAAGGTGTTTGCTTAAAACTCAAAACCTGAAAGAATTTGATCCACTATACCTTTTACCGGTACTTAGAAAGAATAGATGTTTGAATATATTCGTATATTTGTTAGCAAAGGTTTTTCTTTATTTAGAAAATACGGATGTTTTGCTGGTTATTTTCCTGTTGGAGCAGTGTAGATTGGCTGTGAGGTTCTGGTGTCTATCTACTTTCCGCCACCCCTCAGTGTACATTGGCTATTGCCTGGCCCCCCTTGTTAAAATTCTAGCTATGCCTCTGCTTGGGTAGAAGAAAAGAAATTAGCTTATAACTGTCATGTATAGGAGACTACCCCGCAATAAAATTAAATGATGTGTGCAATCGGCAACGGCGTAATGACACCACAATAAGCAACGGCAATAAGCAACATTATGGGGGGGTGGGGGGGGGAGGGGGGACACGAGATGTCTCCATTCATCTCCTGGTCGCAATCTTCACTCATTGTAGCAGCAACGTCCGCCATTCCCTCTTTGGTTCGAAGAAAGAATGTTTTTATTTTGGGAAGTTTGTTCCGCTGTTCCAGCAATTCTTCTTTCCTTTTACTTTTCTGGAATCCGCTCAAGTACCTCTATTGGTACCAATCGTCGCTAACACATTGTACGTAACGGTTATAGTTTTAATCTACGCTCTGGATTACCCATAATTCCAAGTTGTAGTGTGTTGTAGTGTAAAAAATAAAATACTCAAATACATTGTTCTTTTAAGATTTTTATTGCGGTTTGAAACATATTGTATGACTGTATTTTTTACCAACCGTCTAATGAACTATACACAGTTATTAACATAGTAATTAAAAGTGCCACCATCTGCTTTGCTATTGGTGTCGTGTTTAAACGGCTCACCATCATGTTGAAATCTGGCATGTGTTGGGGTATAAATAAGGTCCAGTTAGACATTTCATATCAGGTGGGCTTTAGAAAATTTTTTCGCACCATTAGATCTGCAAAGAGACATCCTAGTCCACAGCTATGTAGGGGGCCAACCATGTGTCAGTGACGGGGCCCCTAAGAGGTCGGGGGCCCCTAAGCAACTGCAGTCTCTGCTTACCAATAGTTATGTCATTGGCAATCGGTGTAGTTGTTTTATTAAAAGGGATAATGTAGCTCCAGCTTAAATGATTGACTTCAATTGTTGACAAGTAATTGAATTACCGTAATATATTCATTTGGGCAACTTAGAAACTAAATAAAGTTGGATCAACTTGGTTAAATTATTTGCTATGAAATGAAGCAGTTCATTTCAGCTGGAGCTGCATTGTCTTTTTAGAGTGAAGTGAATAAAATGTTAAATTATACTCCGACTAATTAAGTTTTACCCTCATTCAATGGCATAGCGACACAACAATAAGCAACATTATCTGGGTGAAGTACAAAACTCTGGATTACCCAGAATTCCAAGTTGTAGTGTAAAAAATAAAATACTCAAATACATCGTTTTAAGATCTTTATTGCGGTTTGAATCATATTATATGAGTTTTTTTTTTGTTTTTTTTAACCAACCGTCTAATGAACTATACACAGTTATTAACATAGTAATTAAAAGTACCACTGTCTGCTTTGCTATTGGTTTCGTGTTTAAACGGCTCACCATCATGTTGAAATCTGACATGTATTGGGGTATGAATAAGGTCAAAGCAGGTGTTTTTTTTCTTTCTTTTTTTGTTTTATGACTTTTTTCTTTGCATTTTTTATACTTTTTACAATTTTTTTCCCTAATCCAAAACTTTATTGAAAAGTTTCAAATTACAAAACATTGACAAAAAAATATCACAAGATATAGTATCTCCAAAATAAGTGTTCAATGATGGGGTACAATTAGAATTAAGATATAACATACTTTAACTTAAATAGATAACCGAAGAGATTTAAACAACAGCGACAAACAAAAAAAAGGCAATATATATCACATTTCTCCAAATATTTCCTGTATTACGTTAACTGTGTGTATACATTTTTTATTGTTGATTCTTTGGATACAATTAAGGTAATTTTTTAAAATCATTTTCAAACACAGGGAAGAAAGGTCGACCTTTGGAAAATTTGGTTTTGTGTATGTGGAATTTTGCAATTAGAATCATCAAGTTAACCAAGAGTTGAATTTTCTTATCATTATTAGTAGTGTAACATAATATATTTGGCTTTTAATTTAATTGTTGTGTTGGAGTGTGATATGATGTAAACCTCAACTTCTTTCCAGAATATCTGTGAAAATTTACATTAAAAAAATAGAAGCTCAGGTGTGTTTAAAGAGGAATTTTCCCGCATCATTATGTCTGTAATCAGGATTCTTATTTCCTGCGTACTCTGCTTACCGATATTTACGCCATTGCCCTCATATAAAACATATATAAAAGGTAAAGACTCACAAGAACGGAACAGGAGTAAAATGGTTTAGTCCACCCTACGCGCGGTCCGTCATGGTCTCTCCCTGTATATAAAGGAGGAATCTGCTCCCCGTACAGCAAACAGACTCAGCTGTGCGCTCTAGGATCGGTGAGCGGATAATGGCCAGAAGCTTTTGCTGTGATGGACACATAAAGTACGTTGTCTTCTCCGCTCAGTTCTCCCAAAGTGGCTCATAACTGAAGCTCTCCGATCACTTCTAGGATTTTTATAGTAACATCATTTTTTTTTCTCGTCCCCAGTGTTGCTGTTGAACGGGAACAGCGGTAAAATGCTGCCGTGGAAGAAGAACAAGTTCGACCTGATCGAGGAAGACAAGCAGTCCAAGCAGAAGGGCTATGCGGTGAGCCTCAACTACTCCGCGCTCACCTCCTTCGCCAAGTCCTGCCCGGAGAGCGCGCTCAACCGGGTGGGCAGCATGTTCAAGTCCAAGCGGAAAAAGGTGAAGATCACCAGCGAGGACCCCACGTACACGGTGCTCTACCTGGGCAACGCGACCACCATCCAGTCCAAGGGGGACGGCTGCACGGACGTGGCGGTGAGCAAGATCTGGGGGAAGAGCGAGATGGGGAAAAGCGGCACCAAGATGAGGCTGACCGTCAGCTCGCAGGGCATCCGGATGGTGCATGTGGACGATAAAGCCAGGAGGCCGGGACACCTCTACCTGCTGCACCGGATCACCTACTGCGTCGCGGATCCGCGGTTCCCCAAGATCTTCGCGTGGATTTACAGACACGAGATGAAACACAAGGCGGTGATGCTGCGCTGCCACGCAGTGCTGGTGTCCAAGCCGGAGAAAGCTAAAGCCATGGCTCTGCTGCTCTACCAGACCTCCGCCACAGCCCTGGCTGAGTTCAAGAGGCTGAAGCGGAGAGACGATGCCCGTCACCAGCAGCAGCAGCTCATCGGGGAGCAGACCATCCCTCTGGTCCCTCTCAGGAAGCTGCTGAACGGACAGTGTTACTACAAACCCCCGGTGGAGCGCAGCCGCAGCGCGCCCAAGCTGGGCTCCATCACCGAGGACCAGCTGGGGGAGGAAGAGGAGGAGAAAGCCATGCACTTTGAGTGCGAGGACATTTTAGACTCGGACTGCATCAATGAAAAACACGAGTTAACTCAGATCATTAACGATCTGGGGGAGATGAGCATAGGGAACGACTTGCAGACTCTGAAAGCTGACCTTAGGGTCACCAGACTGCTCTCTGGGGAGAGCACAGGGAGCGAGTCCTCCATAGAAAGCAACCAAGAGCCTCCCCCACTCAGCAACGGGCTGGGGGAGGTCAAGGTGCTGGAAGTAGCCTAAATGTTGATTATCTGTGCCTCACTGCAGCCTTGTTTATTTGAGCCACATTGTCTCCATGAGCAACACATGCAGAAATGCACCGACCACCTCTCCACTTTCCCATTTTGACCATCCAGATATTATTTGGTTAATTAATCTGATTGAAACCTGGTAAAATTTAAAGTAAATATCACATAGAAATAGTGAATGCCCTTGTTTGACCCAGTCAAAGAGTAAAACTGGTAGAACTTAGTTTTAAACTAATTTGCATTCAGATTCCAGTCATGGATGACAGCCAATTACCGGTCGGTGCATGTCTAAACATTTGTGCTCTGTGTGGAGCGTCTGATATGTGCCTCAACAACTAAAGGAGAGAAGCTCACTGTTGGGTTTGAAGCTACTGCCGCACACAAACTTACAATCATGCTACTGACACTTTACCAGAAACGGCAACCATGGGAAAATGCACACCTGAGAGATAAGCCCCAATGTGACTGAGGATGGCTGCAGTAAATCTGCCTCTTCTGGTTTAAGAGGATTTGTTGCAGCATCAAGGTTGTTCACTTAAGGTTTATTTCTCACTTGAAACATTGTGATCCAAAAGAAGCAGCATTCCGTTTATTTTTTTGTTTGTTTTTTGTAAAAGCACCTTTCCGTCTTCAGTGCTCCAGTGGGTCAGAATAAACCCCTCCTCATTTTCCTGAAGAGAGCTTCTGTGACATCCTGCTTTACTTTTGCACTGTTGACAATTATGTACATAATGTATGCCGCTAGGTTGTCTCAGACATAAATGTCATATCTTTGCTGTGCAAAAGAGGAAAATAAAACATTTATGTACTAAGTTGTAATATATGTTTTAGCTATAACAAAAGTTGTTTTTTAAAAAAATATAAAATGTGGTTTGATATGTGAACCTCATTGAATTCTCAATAAAATGAAAACATGAAGTTCCTACATGTGTTTTTCCTTTTGTCATAGTTGTGTAGATATGAGCCTGTTTGCAGTAAGAAGGGAGATCTGTGATGAATTAAAGTTCACATGTAGGCTTTAAAGAGTGAAGCGACATTTCTCCCTGGGATTTGTTATGGTTGTGAATATGTAGTTGGGTTAGAGGCTCTCATGAATCCTCATTTCTAGGAAAGAAAATGCCTTCCAGGGAGCAGGATGTAAGACATTTAGCTCTAGGACATCTGTTCATTCAGCAGGACTCACATGAGAATCTTAGCACAAGACTGCTGAAGCATCACATGGATCTACTAACAACTTTGGCATCCTAAATCATCTTTAGAGGTGTAATCCCGTGTAACACTGAATGCTTTGAATCATGAAAGTTAATTTTTTTCTCTTATGGAATCAGCTAGTCTGTAGTTTTTCTTTGATCTGTTACTAAAATAATCAGCACAGTAAGTGGAAGAGCCGCCCATAATAAAAGTTCTCAGTTCCACTTTATGAGATGTCACAATGCGCTCCATGTGTGATATAACCACGGAGATGCATCTCATGCCACCTCATTAGACCTTTGGCCAGAGGAAGGCGTGACTGGGTGACTTCTGCTGCGTTAAATTTAGACAATCCTCAACTTCACTTCCTTTTTTTTTTTTTTTTTTTATACAGAGAGTGCCAAGCGTCAGAATTTATGCCTTTCAGTTGTTTCGTCAGTGTTCAGTGTTGCAATGAATGACACCACTACCACTTTTTCTACCATCATCAGCAGAAGTATTCCTTTATTTATCACCCTTGTACCTGTTGATTGTCGCAGTAAACTTATAAACTTCAATGTATTTTATTGATTTATGTGATAAGTCAAGACAAAGTGGGCAATTTTATAATAAAATAAAAGGATTCCCAATTTTCAGAACGCTTACAAGGACAGTTCTGATAAGCTTATCTCTTTTGTCTACAATTTGCTTGAAAAAATGCTTTGTTTAACCACCTTTCATAGCAATTACAGCCGTAAGTCCTTCAGAATATATCTCACTTTGTCTTGTCTTTCATTGCACAGTGCCTCTTAAAGAGCTATTTTCTAATTTGGCCACAGATCCATATTTTCAATTAAGGCTTTTATCTCTATGGTTTCATCACACGGACAATGATGGTTCCATCTTATCCATTTAATTAGATCTCAGGTTGTTTGTTGCCTGTATCCTTATTTTCCTCCATTTAGCTCCATCCTTCTTTCTCTTCTCTCACAAAGGCAGCCAAACACCATGGTTCTACCAATACCATGTTTCACCCAAGTAGAGGTTTTGCTTTAGCCAACACTGAAGCGAGGATTTTTGCAAATTTTTAAAAAAGAGGCCCTTTTCAGGGAACCGCTGTGAGAAAAGTGAGCTTCAATGACTGGCTGCAACAGTAGCTCACCACAGATATACGCCTGAAAGTGTGCATGCTAAGAAAAAGAAAGATAACGTGGCGAGCACGTAGGACGGCCTAATGTAAACATATCACCAGAATGATTGACAAATAGGAGGATCACTTATTTAGATGATCCACCCAGAAATAAAAGTTTGTGCTCTAAATCTTTAAAGTGCTTTATAATACAATAGATAAATGAAAAAGTAAAAGAGTTTTAAAACAAATTTTAATACCACGAGACGGTAGCATGAGATGTTCAGCATCTCTGATTTATTCAGGGAGTTTGTTCCACAGATGAGGAGCATAAAAGCTGCCTCACCGTCATAGTATCTAACTCTGGACATGGAAAATACTGCCGAAAAAACAACCCTTTAAGCCTGAATATATTCATTAGGTGAACATATTCTGTAACCATGACTGTCCTAATGAGTGGAAAATTAATGTCTGAGTCCAGCTCCGGGAGCAGTGGGTAGCATTGCTGCCTTGCAGCAAGAATATCTCGGGTTTGATTCCCGATCTTTCTGCATGGAGTTTGCATGAGTGGGTTCTCCCCGGGTACTCCTGCTTTCTACCGCAGTCCAATAACATGACTGTTAGGTTAAATGGCTTCTCTATATTCTACTTAGATGTGAGTGTGTGATTGATTGTCTGTCCTGTTTGTCTCTGTGTTGCCCTGCCGTAGACTGGCGACCTGTTCAGGGTGTACCCCGTCTCTCGCCTGTAGACAGCTGGAGATAGGCACCAGCACCTCTTGGACCCAATGTGGGATAAGCGTGATGTGGCTTGGCCACTGGTTTTTAGCTTCACAGCTTCAAGCCAAATGCTCATTTAATCTTTCTTCCTTGGGCATTGTAGTTTCAAATATCAGCCACACAATGTATTTTACACATGTATTAAAAGGTAAAGTTTATGGTGCATTCACCACAGTTTACAGCAACAGAGTAATGGAGACAATCTAAACCTTTCCATTGTAGCCCTAGTTGTTTACAGGAGGGTAAACCTCCATCCTATAGTCTTAAGCCTTTAATAGCAACAAATTAACAAATTCAAAACTGACCTGTTAGTTAAGGAGGGTAGCTAGTATTACTTGCATGACACTGAAAAAAAGAGAAAAAGAGGAAAGAAAAGAAGTTTACTATGATCTAAAAGAAACTTTATGTTAAAGCGGCTGAATTGGTTTCCCTAGATGCCATAAGCTGGTCACCAAACCAAAGACACATGGATTATAAACAAGATTGTGGAACTAGAGGGAGTTAAATGCATAGAAACCCACATTAATTTCTGTTCCTATTGTGGTTCATTTTGTCTGCCCCAACCGCAGCTTCTTGAAGTCCCAAAAACATAAAACAAAATAACTGTATGACATCATCGACACGTGCCCATTTTAATGTGCTTAGCGCAGAAAGGACAGAAAGTGAGTGCTGGTGGCCCCGTGGAGTTCCATTCATGCCTCTTAATGCCGCTTGCTGCTATAACAGGTCAGTTTTTCCCCTGACCCACTTTCTTACAAAGGGTTTGTTGGGTCCCACCTCTGCTGCGTCATTTGGGATCTCGTTATCTCTCAGAGGTTAAATGGCTATCAAACACTCGTGCCGAAGGCTCACTCATATAACTTAAGTGGCAAACAATTTTGCACAACGGCTTTTAATCTATTGAAGGAGAAACAGCTTCCGAGGGAATTTACAAAAGAGAGCTTTTGAGTTTAACTTTTCACATGCAAGTTCAGACAAAACAAACACTCAGGTGTGTCCTCAGACTACTGTTGCATTTGGGGTGAGTCTCAGGTAACTGGATATCATATCTTGAAAAGAAACAGTTTGTCAATCACAAACACTAAAGGTGCAGCACCTTGGAAGATAATCCTACTGGCACGTCTAAATATAGGCTGAGTGACTGATTACATATCTCATATTTGGAAACATTATGATTACAGGGTATTATATTAGGGTTTTATGGAACAAACCAAAACACAGTGGTTGGTCTGTCACATAGCTTGGAGGTAGAAGCATAGCCTACTTTGTTGTTGAATTATTCTATGACTTCAAATCTGTTCATTTGCAGTAAGTGATTTTTAACGAGTTAAAAATAGTGCACGTAAAAGCCCATGTCCTGACATACTTCCTGAGTCTGGTTCACACAAATTTAGAACTCACTAACACCACAGAAGCTTTAACCCCAGGGTGTGATAAACCGTGAACAGCATCTAAAACACGGCGGTGCTGGACTGCAGAGACTACAGGCTATGGTTTGCCCACAGTAACATCACAAAGGAAGGTTACACCATCTTCATGAAAAGAGACATATTCCAGCTGCAAACTAGATTCTGCTGTCCTCAACATTTGTACCACTGAGTCTGTCAGCTAAATGTCAAAAAATATAAAGGTCTGACAGACTTTTGCTGTGGACCAGCTTTATTTTTTATTATGGCCTATATCGTTTAGTTTGTTTTGAAAAGACAACACAGTTATCCAGATCGTTTGGTCTTTTTATTGTTTCTGACTAAACTTTGTATTGTAGTTTTTTTTTCATGTTATCTATACAGAAAACATATTCAGTATTTTTTTTTCCCCAAAAAGCTTTTTTGCATATTCTGAAATGAATCAAAAAGACTTGGATTATTTCCTAACTTTTTCATGTACATTTTATTGGAGAGATTGTTCAGAAGGTTTAAAGTGTGATTAAATGTGTAATGCTCTAAATCTGGACCTTAAACCAAACTCTCACACTGTCATGTCCTGCAGGTTAAATGATGGTTCTGTTTTGGCTCTTTACTCTGTTATATTCGCAGTTCGTTTTTTTTTTTTTTTTTATTGTCTTGGTCCTCTTGTCTTATCTTTTCATTATTGTATTTTTTCTTAGTCCTCTTAGTTGCTTCTGGTGCATTTTTCCCTGCTTAAACTTAGCTTAATACAAATACTGTAGCTCCTACCTCCTGTACCTATCTCCCTCCATCCTTTGCGAGGTCAACAGTCCACTATCCCAGCTCAAAAAGTAGCTTCTGGGCTGAATCTATATAACCTTCAGGCTTTTAGACACCTGTGTGTGTTCATCTATGTCTCCTCAATTTCCTTAATGTTTTCACCTGTTGTCTCCATTACTTAAGCCTTCAGTTGTGAGTATTCATTGGATTCTCAGTTTTGAATCATGTCTCCATGCATAGTTCCTTGTTCTTCTGTTGCCATTATTTCATACATTTTTTTAATTGTACCATCATGCTGCTCCCAACCATCTGTCTCCACTTTGGTCCTGGACACCCAAACACAACAGTTACTATTTTGCAAGTAGCAGTCTACTATACTTTTCAAGGCTATTCTAGACCTTTAAACTGATAAAGATGTCTAGGTTAATGTCAGGTATAGTGCGTTTTCTGCAATCAATTAATTCAAATACAACTCTCTTAAATTGACTTAAAATGTATCAGAGCCAACAGAATAAAACAAATCAGCAAAAATAAATAAATAAATAAATAAATAAAATCTTACAAAATGAATTTATTGTTTTCATCATAAGTATGTAAAGAATCGAGAGTGGTATGGCTGCAAAGCTGCACAGTCAGGACCCAGAGCTGCATTTTAAGGTCTCC